AACAAAATAACAGCAAAACAAATCACAGACAGTAAACAAAGAGAAAATAACACATGCGATTTACCCGGGTTTACCCAAATAGGTTAGGTCTAGCCGAGTCAATATTATTGTAATATTTCCTCACTTCTCTCGTTTACAATAAATGAATTGCCTTATAATTTGCTATCACACTCATAACAAGAGAAAACTATGTTTATATACTAGGTTTAAGTGACAAAACCTAGTTTTATAAGGATTCATATTCCTAAGCCCAAACCCAACAAGGAATTAATGATTTAAAGAAATCTTACAGTGGTTATACATGAAAAAGGCCCAAACCGCCTACAAGCTCGGGGGTGCTACCCCCACGACCCCTGCCTACTCAATGGGACCCCCAAATACGTCTGCGTAACCCATTAATGCTGAAATAGTCGACAACTCTAACAAGATTAAGACGACTTTATCTATCCCGTAACAAGTGATGGGACGTGTGGTTAAGATGCACGATCTCATGTTTGAATCCTCCTGAATCCCAAGATTTAAGTGGGAGGATGTGGTAGAGGGATTGCTACGCTAGTCTCTTATGAAGATTAGTCAAGGTTTGTATAAATCGGCCCGGACACCTTGATTACCAAAAAAAATTCTAGTAACAACATGAATTAATTAATTTTACATAATTTTTTTTTCTGCATATTTATTAATGTTTACGCTACCAAACTTTCGTCCTCAACAATCATAAACGAACTCTCATCAGAATCACAACCTTCCAACTTTGGAGGTAATCAATGCACAATCAAAAAAAAGCTTCCCACGTGATGGAATTAGATTATAAAATACAAATCCCATTTTGAATGGCCATACTTGAAAATGAACCATGCATGTGCATGTGTCAGCATTGGCAGACATATGGCCACATGATCATCCATACTTCAATTTATTTGCTGTCTCTTTAATCGATTATACATGGACCAACGATAGAAGCCTTGAAAATTGCAGTGTTTTATTTCTCAGATGGTCATCGACAATGACTCCATGGTGAAGTAGAACCGTTCTTAATTTAATTATTTTATTTTATTTTTTTGGGCTGTCCACATGTAGAATATCTTCTATGCATGTGTCAACTAACTTTCAAACATTTATAAATCAGAATTTATTTCTCATTTTGATGTGAATAAAGAGAGCAACTCAGCACTCATTTATTTTGTATATTTTGGCCTTATTACCTGATTTTACCAAACAGGACTGCAGAGAATTCGGAGTTTTGTTTGCGATTCTTTATAGCAAAATCTTTGGATTCTAGGGGAAATAGTCATTATATATTTGATAATTGGGGATATCCAGTTTGTGCGCACATTGACTAAACTCACGGGACCTTAAAGTTAACGACCAGATAACTTTCTAATAGTCATCCTTATTAGTAACCGAGGTGATCCGATCTCAAGATCTTTTGAGTAATACGCCTAAAAATTTATATCGCCTCACCCGATCATCCAAGGGTGGTTTATTAATTATATATGGTTAGATTTACCTATCACATCTAATTACAAGCATTTATTTCATAAATTTATAATATTTCTTTCAGTTATCTATCTTAATCACAAATAATATATGTGGTCGTTGTTGATTAATGCAAATATATATAAGACCATAGATTATTTTATAAAAAAAGGTGAAATAACAATTCACCAATATTTATTAATTCAGTTTTATCTATCCCCAAATGTTAACTACGGATAACCACTAACCTTGCAGTTGGATGACAAGATTTTAGCTATCTGAGTTGTTTATCTGTAGTTTTTATGTTCGAGTCCCATAAAGTAACTATTTATCATATTTGTGACTTATTTGATTCATTGAATTTGTAAGGTGTTCGATGTAACATACTTTCGTTTCATAATATTTCCTTTGATCATCTATCTTAATCCCGAATATAATGAATGATTAATCAATATGGAAATAGATGTGATGTGGTAGGTACGTACAACCGATGTAACGAAATTTTTGTTGGTTAATTCTAAAACTAAACCATGCTGGTGAATCAGGATGATCATGTTCCTTCTTTTCATCTAACTACAGTTGCCACTATTATTAGTTAAATACTGTTTTGGAAGCCTCTCTTAATCAATCTCTGTCAGTGCAAGGGAGGCCCTGAAAAGTTAGCCATAAATGTGAATAAGACGTAAACCTTCCCAGTGTTGATAAATATTTCATTTTCCCATTTTTCTATTGAGCTAATTTTTGTTTCTTGATTATAATATCTATATAAAAATATGTATAATATTATGTTAATAACTATTTTTTATAATCTTGATGTAATAATTTGTAATCGATCCATTTATAATTATTTAGTAAAATTTATACAAAACTTATGTGAATTTTATTATCAACTGACCTAATAGACGATTGGTGGCATAATATTATTCAAAAAAATAGCCATGACAGATTTTGAAAAGACATGGTGTTTATTATTATTTCGGTCTGATGAGTATATATTTCATATGGAAGATAAAATATATTATGATTTGACAATGCTATGTTATAATTTTTTGACGACAGATTGTGTTGCTAATAATTCATTTCATTATTGTACTCTGATCGGCTGCAGTAGGCGGCCCCGCCCCCCAGCTGGCAAAAAATGGAATGTTCTTGAAATTAACCAGTAATTTTTTATCTTATTATTTCCACATTTATCATAAATTGTCAGTGTTTAACGTCGACTGAAGATTCTGCAAGTTACGCATTGGAGGAGGCATGATTTATGCAGCCTTAGGCGACGCAAGAAAGCGGCAGTATGGAAATTGAAACGTTTCCAACGTTGTTTTTCCGTCCTGCTTTTTTTGACTCAAGAACAATATCGTCTCTGGTATTGACATGACAAATTCCGTCTGCGATAAGTATAGCCAGGGTTTCTAGCAACAGGGTATGGGTGCATTTGGTTTAATATTTTTATTTATATTCTCAATCTTATTCTCCAAACATTATTTGGCATATTATTTGAGAAATATTAGTGTATTTTTTAATTATTTTTAGACTCTTTAAATTTATTAATTTCATAAATACCCCCAGAAAAAAGTTTAAAAATTAGCAAAAATAACCTCACTCACCCATACTTACCAGATTCCGACAACCACAGTTGGTGGTAGGTGGTTGTTGGAATTTGTCACAACGGCTTACACCACGATCAGAAATGGCCGATTATTCACCGGTCTATGTCGTAACGTAATTTTCTAACCAGATTCTGACGGTGGTGGTCAGAATCTGGCACTACGGGTGGTGGGAGTGTTTTTGTCATTTTACATAATTTTTATATATTGGGGTGTTTAATTAAATTAGTAAAACTAGGGGTTTTTTTTAGAAATTTTTAAATTTTACCTCGTCATACTCTTCTATTCAACTATCCAATATTATTCTCAAAATCCTATTCAAAATAATAAACCAAACGCATCCATAAGTTAGATAAATTTACAATAAATAATATACCAAAGTAATAAACAAAAAAGAAAAAAAGCAGGTATACTGTATATAATTTCATTTTCTTAACCAAATATTAAATTCAACAAAAATCAAACGTTTTATCCAAAATTAAATAAACCATACTCATTCAACATACAATTATGTTAATTACATACATAAAATGATAAAAATAATCTAAGACAACATAACTCATGATCTTTCATCCATTAATAAATATAGGAGATGAGATTTTTAAACAAAATAACAAAAAATGAACATCTATCTTACCTTGTGACATTCAAATGAATAGTATTTCTTGATTAATCCAATCAAAAGAAGAAGAAAGTATGACAGAAGAGGAAAAGAATAGAGGAAGAGAGAAAAACGTGAAAAATAAAAAATATGAGTATTTTCAAATCCCGACATCAATAAAATATAAAAATATCTTAATAGGGTCAATAAAAATATGTTTAGTGTGATCATCATATACACACAACAAATATAATTAAATGATTTGTCAATCATTTAAACTTTCATTAATTGGTTTAAGTAATTATAATAGATATGTTCACATTGATAAATTAAATTAAACATATGGTATGAACACATTATTATTACATTAATTTATCATGTTTCTCACCAAGAATAAGATCCACATTTGTGTTACATAAGGACGAAATTAATCAATCATGCTTCAAAAATCTGTTCAACCACCAACAAAAAGTTGATTTAAGAACAAAAGATCTAAATATCATCTGCCATTGTCTTCACTTACAAAGTAGATCGATCTTCATTAATTTGGGAAGAAAAAAAATAAAAATAAAAATAAAAATGGAGAGGACCAGAAAAATAATACGTGTATTCCTATATTCTTGAGACGGCCGTCGGTTTAGAAGATACATCTTTGACAACGATGCAAGTCTAGGTACAAAAAGAAGTTTTAATAAATTTGAAGGACCAGAAAATTAAATGGTTACAGCTACAGTTTTAATTTGGGTGGTCCCTATATATGAATTGCCAAAAATAGTAGATAGCATATATATGCTATCTAACCACATGTAGGAATAATATTTAATACAATTATAATTTTGTTATGTTTTTTTTCTTGGTTATTTCCACAACATATGTTTAAGGTTTCTATAGGTTAAAATTCAGTCTGTCTAGAAGGGTCTGTGTACATTATCCAAGTATTTAGTTAATTTCATAATCACCTTTAGGTTTTTCCAAATTATTAATCAGATATACCAATTTTAGGGGTATGAGTTGTTGTCTAGGTAAGCCAGTATGTCGCTATGGAGGAGGCCAGTGAACCGAGTCACCTCGAACCGTAGGCACAAGCAAAGCCGTAGCCAAAGTATACTCAGTGGGGTCACTTGACCCCACTGAAATGTGGAAATTATTAAAAATAATTAAGTATATATTTTATAGTAATTAATAATTTTGATTCCATTGAAATTAGTTATATCTTATTGATCTGGAGATTTCCAAAAACCGTTGAGAACAATTATAGAGATTAACGGGTGGTAATTGTGTCATTCGAACAAGTGGCGTCAGAGTTTGGTCACAGGTTCGTGTAGTGGTTAACGGGTTTCGAAGGAAAAGTGGAATATTTGAATAATTTTGAAATGTATGGGAGTCTTCTGAACAATAATTTTTGAAAAAGTCTAAACATGAGATTAACCATCTAAAAAGTTTGTTCATTTGGCAAGAACCTTGAACTTTGAAGAATTAACTGCGAATAACAATCTGGTTTTTGGTATTCACATTTTCCCGGGAAACAAACAATTCCAGAAACAGATATCGGATTCAATTTATTGGGATTGTTCTCTACAACAATTCTCTCAATTCCTTTTCGATATCCAATAAAGAAGCTATCTTCTTGAGCTCCAAATGTTTCAGAAAGTCCGATTTCCCCACACTTTCAAGCTGCTGATCATCATAGCCCTTGTTCTTGTCATCATCTTCATCATCGTCATTCTTTTCCAAAGAATCAAAATTCGACACGAAAATTTTGTCCTTATCGAAGACATCAATCGAAGATATCAAAGATTTATCATCTTGATCTTCATCATCATCAATCTGCATTGAAGGACTTGACCATTGCCCTGGAATCTCCTGAAGTTTCAGATTCCTCCAGGAAAAATCCTGAAGACCGTTCTTGTCTTCAGCCTGGAATTTTTTAATTGATAACCTCGAATCTGATGCAGCCCCGCCCTCAACCTGAAGCTTCTTGCACAGAATAGTGTTCCAATAGTTCTTGACTTCATTATCAGTCCTACCAGGAAGTCTTCCTGCTATTAATGCCCACCTACCATTTTTGAACAACTTCAGCTAATCAAATTTATCAAACTCAGTATCGTCGGTACATTTTACTTTATTTCGTCTGTTTCATGTATTTCATGAATTTTTCCTTTCTTAATAAATATCAATAAATTCCTCGTTCTGTCGAAATTTAAAAAGAAAGAAAAAACTTGAAAACACAGTAATGGTTTACCTGTTACCGAGAAGACGATGAAGTTTAATAATGAGTTCATCTTCATCAGGAGAGAAGTCACCTCTCTTTATACCAGGCCTCAAATAGTTCAGCCATCGAAGCCTGCAACTCTTCCCACTTCTATTCAAACCTAAACAACATAATAACCATGAACAAACAAATAAGTAAATATATTTTCCATTTTTAAGTAGCAAATATAAAAATTAATTACCTGCTTTCTGAGCAAGGCTTCTCCATTTGCCTTGCCCATGGAGTTTAACAACCTGTGTAAGAAGTTCATCTTCCTCAGAAGACCAAGCTCCTCTTTTAACTCCATCTTTGACCATTTCTTTTCTCTTCTTCTCTATAAGACAAATAACCTGGAATTCAATAATAATAATAAATGGCCATTCAGTTTGAGTACTACTACTCAAGAATAACTGGTTTGAAAAAATATTAAGGAAAATGGAGATGGAGATGGAGATGGAGATGGAGATGGTGGCATTTTATATAAAGAGAAGTGAAAGATTAGCAGCTCTGAAAAGTTGAAGCCTAGTTGCTCAAAACTCGTACGAGTGTCAGAATCAGTGAGTTCGGCTCCAAGCCAGCTGGGAAAATACGACGCTTTGACTAATCATTGAAGCTTTTGGACTGTTAGTTGATGGCCAGTCTTTTACTGTGATACTGTTTAGAGCAGTCAAAAAGTTTATGAACAATTTAATGGGTTAATTAAATAATTATTGGTATCATGTTAACTTCCTTTTATAGGAGAATCAATAAAATATAGACAAAGAGTTAATTATATTAATAATGCTATTGACACCGAATTTTTGCACTGAAATTTTTTACGAACGACATGGCATCCAGTCAGATATAGACATGTTAGACAAAAAACACGTCTCTTGTGAAACAATCATGAATGACCGTCTATACTTTATGAATAATCGTTCAACATGAATGGACGAGCATCCACAAAAATATCAATGAAACCCCGTTCATATTATATGGACGGAAGTCCATTTACTATAGACAGGCGTCCATATAAGATGGACACCCATCTATCTAATATAGATGGACGTCCATAAACAATGGACGACCGTCCATATGCATGGATGACCGTCCATAGTAAATGGATTTTTGAAAGAGTTTGAAAGAGTCTATTTGGAATACTATTATTTTAATACTATCATGCATGCAACTATTAATTAATAATTCTTTAAAGTATTACTTTTGTTATCTGAGACTGGAATTTCCAAATTCCAAAATCAGCGATTTGGAGGAAGTTCACATCAACTTTAGGGGGCTTCACAAAGAGTTCGCTAAACTGAACCCCAATACCTACATAAGTTGAACTTTTGAAAGAGTTTTTTTATTAGACTCGAATAACAATGGACGGTCATCCATTACATATGGATAGCCATCCATTATATATGGATGTCCGTCTATATTATATATGGATATCCGTTCATATAATATGGATGAGGGTCTATTGATATTTTTATAGATGTTCATCCATTCATGATGAACGGTCATTCATAAAATATGGATGATCGTCCGTGATTGTTGGACGACCGTTTATTCATAAGGGACTTGTTTTTTTGTCTAACGTGACCGCGTCTAACTGGATGCCACATCATTCGGTAAAAAATTTCGGTGCCAAAATTCGGTATCCGTAGCATTATTGTAATTATATTGTATTGTCATCTTTTGAGGTTTTTGTAATTGCACGAAGCTTTGTCCCCTCTAATTTTAGTAGATTAATGATCATACTTTTAGATAGAGGTTATGTGAGTAACAATGGAAGAAGTAGAAAAAGACACTTTAAACCACCCATAGGTGGTCGGGTGGGATGATAAAGGCTCTTGGATGTATTATTTGACTCGTAATATTTATATACATATATTTCAAGTATTTTTTATTAGGAAAAATCTTACAAATTTCATCATTAAATTTTTTTTTTCACAAACAATAAAATTTATAATTATCTTATATACTTAGTTTTGCTATATAAAAATAAATTAATATATAAGATAATTATAAATTTTATTGTTTGTGAAAAAAAAAATTTAATGATGAAATTCGTAAGATAACAGAACTTAAATGTCAATTCATATAACTTTAATTAAAGGCAACATAATCATGATGTCTTGGTGCTGGTTTTTGGATGCAAGTATATGGAAATTATGTTGTTGATATGATTTGTGATTTATATAGTTCCCGTGTAGGTAGCGAACAGTTTTTTTTTCTTTTTCTGGTACTTCAATTGCGTAGATAATGTTTTGTTTATTATTAATAGGAGTCAGCGTTCTTATCTGAATATGGTTTTTAATAGTTTTGTAAAATAATGATATTTGTATTAATCCTTTAATGTCAAGTCTTACTTATATTTAAATGCAAACGGTTTGCGTTCATGTTAATTTCTATATAGGTATATTAAATATTTTAGATATTTGATTAGTACGCACACGGTACAACACGAGATATCATCAAAATATCAATCACATCAATAAAAAAGTATACTGAGAAGGGTATTGATGTTATTGATAGATGTATTCTGTTTAATTAGGAATACAAAAAAAATAGATGGAACAAGAATACAGATATTATAATAAATAAACATGTTTGTTTAAGAAGAATAAAATCTAACTGGCATGAGTTTAATAGAAAGGATGAGAAGAATAAACTGGAAAAATAACATCGATTATACGATTAGATCACATAATATTCAGGTAGTCTTCTCAACTTGCATGAGTGATTTAAGTTCGTATCACTTTAATGTTATGTAAATTATTTATTTAAAATTTAAAAGTATTTATTTGTTTTTTGAGAATACAAAAGGTGCTTTGAGAAAACCAATAAATGTCTAGTAATAAGTAAGCATGTTGATTGAAAAAACGTTAATAACTCTTTGGATGAGAGAATATGAAACGGTAGTAAACGTAATAAATATTTTATTAAGTATTCAAGTAAGAAAAGTTACGATGATATTATAATATATTGCCCGGATTGTGAATAATGGTTTAGGGTTTAGTGTGATGTTATCACATAATAATCGGAGTCTTTGTAGAAATTTCGAGAAATGAAATTGTCACGCAGATGTTCAACATGAATTGATTTTTTTTTGTCACTTTATAGACAGGGGACCAATTGTCGCTTTTTTAGTTTTTATTTTGTTGTTATTATTAATAATTATTTTTTATTTATATATACGACAAAAAAAAATAACATATTTGTAAGAAAAATCTCGTGGTTTCCCTTTAGGAAAAAAATTATAACTTTTTTTTTTTTTTATTCTTCGTGTTTTTATTGATAACATTTGTTTGTTACCACCTCAAATTTTTATTATTTCTTAAGAGAATTGATTATATTTATTTAATTTTTATTATTTGCACCAAATTATCTAATAGAAAATATACTTATTACCATTTTTTTTTTAAAACCAATAAATTTTTTGGGATTTATTTAATTAATATTTCCAAAATATTTCTAGACCTCCAATTTCACAAAAAATATATATTTTTTTATTTAGAAAAACAAATAACCAATAAATACAATTAATTTTATAATATTTTTTTATGTTATAATATTTGTGGTCGGATGACAACACCTTAGATTATTCAAAAGTCTTATATTCGAGTCTTCTCAAGTGACCACCACTTAGGCTCGTAAGGTATTTAATGCTTGTAGGGTACTCCGATCATAAAAAATTTATTATAACAAATCTATTAATTGTTTTAAAAAAACAAAAAAAACACATAAATGGACCACAGCAATAAATGGGCACATGATATGGTGGTGCAAATCCAAAATTAATAAAAAATTTGTACACATGTACAGTATAAAATATTTGTCCCTATAGGGCTTGAAATTTGACACATTTTTATTATAATTTTTAGCGATTAAAAAGGACAAAATCTTTTGTTGATTTTGAGACCCTACTCCACACAAGTTGATTATAACTTCACAATGATTTTTGGTCCTTATTTACACGGGATCATAATGGAGATGGTAATGGGGATGAGGATTGAAAACGATTATATATTATTTATTTGTAATATTGACACCTAAAGGACCAGAGGCCGACGATTTGTCAATTTAAGCTGGTTTCGGCCTCCAAAAACATTGTCGATGATGTAACACGAGGCGACCGGAAGTAATAGTCACCACATGTGGTGACAACCCTAAACCTGCCTAGATCAACAGATGGTAGGATGGTGTGATTCCTCACATGTTGAAAATGATTTCGATGGTGTGATTCCAACGACTGTGACGTCGACGTGCTGGGGGTTGGCTCATGGTTGCAATGTTGGGGTAGAGCAATAATATTTTTTGTTTTTTTTTTAATAATTATATTATAAAATAATTAAAATTTAAATATATTACTTTAAATTACACTCATAGTAAAAAGATTTTTGTAATTTTAAAAACTTAAAAAAACAAAATATTATTCAATAAAATTTCAAGGATATTATTTTGGATAGGATTTTTGATATTTTTAGAGTTTGGTGGGAATAACGAGGTAGGATTTTAAAGTTCACAAAAACACCTCTCTAGGTTTGCTAATTTACGAAACACCCCAATATATACAAATGTTGTAAAATGATAAAAACACCCCCACCCATAGTTGTTAGATTCTGACCACCACCGCCGGAATTTGGCGTTATGGCGCACGACTAGTCGAATCTGGCTATTTGTGTGCCGATATGACATTTTTTGGCTAGATCCACCACGAATCTAGCCGGAAAAGGCCAGATCTACAACCATTTCTAGCCAAAAAATGATAGATCGGCACACTACTGACCAGATCCAGCCAGTCGTGTGCCATTATACCAGATTCCGGCCACCTTCCAGCGGTGGTGGCTGGAATCTGACAAATGTGGGTGGATGGGGATGTTTTTGTTAATTTTTAAACTTTTTTCTTGAGGGTATTTAGTTAAATTAATAAACTTAAAAGATTTAAAATATAGTTGAAGAAAATATATTAGTATTTTGAGGATAATGAAACAAACAGTTATTTTGAGGATAGGATTGGAAATAGAATGTGGAATAATGAAACAAACGAAACCATTGTTATTAATCCTTAATTAAACCTCAAAGATTGTTGATATTAACTAGACCTAGCAAAACGGGCGGGTGGGTTGGGTACGGGTCCAAAACGAGTCGATCTAAACGGGTCCAAAATATTGGACCTCTGCCCTACCTTATGCAGGTACAAGTGGACTCGCAGGTACCCGTGTTGTTTACAGAAGTTTTCAATTTTGACAGTTACACCCATAAAATTCTTACAATTTTCATTTTTTACAATTACACCCCCATGATCAACTACTCCAAATTCAATTCAATAAACACAAATACATGACTACTAACCTAAATGAAAAAATAATACAATGAACAAACAAAACAAAACATTTAATATAATAAAGTTACTCATTAGAAAAATGAAAATCACTTTGTGGACAAAACTTATCATCAGAATCATAA